TAAAACCATTCAAACAGGAAAACCAACGGTCTAATCTATATAAAAAACGAGAAACACTTATGAACCACATCAACAAATGACAACCACTGAACATCAGGTTCCTGACTTAGGACAGGTGCAAACAAATGCAGCGGGTTTAAACGTTTCAATAGGCGCCAACCTTCACCCTAACCTGAAACAATAGTGTAACATCACAACAAAGAAAGACACACTATAAAATATCAATTGAAATGGATTAACTCAATCAAAAGACAAATTAACAAAAACAAGTAAACATACACTGAACGAATAAATTTGATCTATGACACAATGTAAATACATGAACATGTTTACTATGAATTTTATCACAGATTGGAGGACGGTTTGAAAATAAACCTGGTGTTAAAAAAATTCATGAGAAATTGCCCCTACCAATTAGTCTAGCGTACAAAATTTTAATTCTGGTATTTATGATGAGTTTATTTAAAACCACTGGGTCGATGCCACTGCTGGTGGCGGTTTTCTCCTCGACGATATCACCATCACACCAGTCAATAATTATGTGTCGCTTTGAAATATCATTGATAAAGTTATAGTTATGAATTAAATGTTTGCAAGAATTTTTGAAATACTAAGGATTTTCTACCCCAGGAATAGATAACCTTTACTGTATTTCGGCAAAACTTTTCGGAATTTTGGGTCCTCAATGCTCTTCAACTTTGTACTTTATTTGGCACTTTTAACTTTTTTAATTCGAACATCACTGATGCGTCTTTTGTAGACAAATCGCGCGTCTGGCATACACAATTTTAATCCTGGTATCTATGATGAGTTTATTTATGTATATATGTATCTTTTATAGATATAAAGTAGAAAATTACAAGGACAAGTTGGCGACAAGATACGAATAGCTATACAAAGCAACATCACATGTTCCACAAATCTGAGAATTCTGTCGGTGTTTCAGCAATTAGTGATGTCTTTCATACTCTAAATATGACATGCTGCATACTGATTTCATGACAGAATTTAACACAATTGACTAAGTCTGCAATGAGAGTGGCTGGTAGTTATTTTGCCAATATACGTTCAAGTCACGCACAGAGACTATACAATTAGAAGGCAAGCGTTACAAAGAATATCTAGTTATTGAATCAGATATCGATATTACGTTAAACAAATGGTTATCGTATACATTTTGTAAAAGGCAACGGAAGATTTATGAATTTATGCATTGAAATTACTTAAGATTTCGTATGTCAAATACTGAATGAAAAATGAGGATAAGAACATTAATACAAAATGTATTACCAGGCTGATTATTAGTAGGACTATTCATCAGGTTTTAATCTTTTCTCTAAGCACTGAGCCAACACAAATACATTTTTCATTCAACAGTCTTGATACAGGTTTATGTTTTTGATTAGAGCAAATAACGCCCAAGTTTTAATATTTTTACTACATTTTACTACATTTCAAGACTGTTTTCACAGTGATAGATGCAAAAGGAACATTGAACAAGTTTATTGTTATCCTGAACTTAAAAGAAAGAATTCCTCGGTGCCAACAAAATCTTCTCTTATAAAATTGGTCGTATCCATTGTTTCCTTGCCAACATTATAAAAGACATGTGGAGCACAATTCATTAAAACGTATATTTAAAAAAACGAAATATAAAATTGTCGAAGTAACAAATATCGGGATCGTACACCTCGACTAAATTCGATTTTTATGACTTTTTTGTAATCTCGTTTCTACAGCTTCAATAACGTTTAAACTTTTATGACTGAGGTGGTGTCATTACAAAAACGGTCCAAAGACTCAAATGACCGTTTTGCACAGATTTTTTTCTTAAACAGTAGAGATTGGTTTATTAAGAACATCCAAATATACACGTATGGGAATAACTCTAAACAACCAATTCAATTATTCAAAGTTGATACTGCATTTTGAAAATTTAGCTGAAAAAAATACTGATATAAAACAAGAAGATTTGGTATGGTTGCCAATGAGACAATTTCCATCAGAGACCAAGTTAACGTAGGAGTTAGCAACTATAGGTCACCGTACGGCTTTAAACAATGAACAAATCCCATACCGCATAGCAAGCTATAAAACACACCCAGACTAACCTTATTACACATCTAAAATTGAAGTAAAAGACCTCGCGTTATGCAAATAAAGAATAAAGGCTGAATGACTTCTAAGAGTTTTTCTTAAATGTTCATTTTTTGCATTAAATTTGGGACACTCAACGTATAACGTATTGCGTGTCTGCAGGCAAAGTGCAAATCATTCTATAAAAGAATATACAGTATTTCATATATTTTCAGAATGAACAGATCAGTAAATTTCACAAAAAGAGGCTTACATACATCATAGATATGAATTGAATTAAGATAAACGGCAATTTATGAAAACTTTCCTTGAAAAAGTGCAGTTTACAATAAATATATTGACGCTTTCAATCTTCACATGTTAACAAGAGATGCTATTCAGGATTACTTCATTTGATTAGTTAAATTGAAGGATATACGTTTTTTCTTCTTTTTAGGTCATCTGTTTTAATTTTTTTAATCACGTTCTAGCTGCACTGATTATATGTATGCTTCGCATGACTTGATCTATCTTTGAAGTGATTGCCATTACGAGAACATTGCAAATGTAATATTGGATTGACACAGCTGTCAAATGTTTCCATAAGTCAATTTAAGGCCTGTAGTTACGCAGTGAAATCTCGTTATTACAGACACATAACTGGTTTATGGCTTCTATAAAATGTTGGGCATACATGAGTTGAAGCTGATATCAATTCACACGGAATCGGAAATGTAGTACATACTTTGACTTCAGGTATCTTGACAATTCGGTTTTATGATGATTACATGCTAAATGAAATTATCTTTAGAAATTTATTGAATTTCTTTAAAAAGGAAACATTCTTGTATTTTTATTAACCTATGAAAAGAATGAAAACTGTGAAATACAATACAATTAAAAAAGACCTGGCCAAGTTAATAGACCACGCGCACGTTCAAGGAGCAGCACTTTTAGGAATGATAACAGAGTGCGTGTTTCACTTTCGTGTTTAATTTCATTCTAGTCCTACATAGTAGGTAAATATGTATTTTCCACTTCAGCGTACATTTGGGAATATGAACATTGTGTATTTTACCATTTCTGATCATTGTCTGACATATTGATATTTTGCTCACTCCCACCGTTAACCGAGACGATAATTGAAAATAAACTTTTGTCCATATTTAAACACAAATAGTATTATCAGTATTATCATGTATTAAATTTCAAGAAATCGTGCATTCTTATTAATTATTTCATGTCATGCAATTTTGCTAATGTATAATGCTTTTTTCTGAGTAAGCAGAGAATTCCCGTATTATTTTATTCCTATAAACATTTGAATTTGCGTTTTCTACACCAAAGAATGATTTTCTATATCATAATTTATTTATATATAGATATAAGAGTTTTAAACAGTTAAAGCGGTGTTGATTTTCAACTGAATATAAAACCAAAAAGATGTGGTATGATTACAAACGAAACAACTCTATACCAGGGACCATATGGCGTAGAAGTGAACAACTATAGGTCACCGTACGGTCTTCAACAATGAGCAAAACTCATACCGCATAGTAAGCTTTAAAAGGCCCCGAAATGAAAAATGTTAAACAATTCAAACGAGAAAACTAACGACCTGATTTACCTACAAAACAATCAACGAAAAACAAATATGATATACAGCAAACAATAACAACCATTGATTTACAGGCTTGAAGTTCCGTATGACAATGTGTTAAATCATATGACCTATATGCATATATTTGGGCATAAGATCAAAATTAATCAATATACCTGATAATAAACGAAGAAACCAGATTCTAACAAAAGTTTTCGAGAGTTCATTAAACCGTTAGCATCTATAACATTGACAATTTTAACTTTATAAACCAAATTCTACATATCCACTTTATAAAAACAGGGAGATGTGATATGATTGCCAATGAGAAAGCTTTCCACCAGAGACCGAAGGACGAGAATGTAAACAAATATATTTCACCTTAAGGTCTTCATCAATGAGCAAAACCTTAAAGTATAAATATAAAACAAAAGAAAAAAAAAAAAACGGTTTAGTTGATGTTAAAACATATCACTGCAAATACAAAGAATGCTTGTATTTTTGAAAAAAAAGTGTTCAATACCTTCATTAGTTACAAAAAAGATACGTCTTGTTTGTAAGAAATGCATTCACGACAAATTAGTATTGCAAATATTTTAAAATTGAAAAAAACAACAAGGTATACCTGCACATAAAATTATCATGTATTTATTTTTTTCCCGGAACATGCTAGTTTTCTAACTAGGTAGAAAAGTAACGTTTACAAGTAGATATCGAAAATTTAAATGATTTTTTAAAAGGACAGATTTAGAGTTAAAATAATCCACAATCCTTTGATAAATGTCTAAATCTCTTCAACTCTGCAGGCCGTATCATAATACTTCCGTTCATCCTTAACCGGTAAAATAAGTGTTAATTGTGCTTTACAGAAGTTTAGAATTTTCACATATTATATCGTGTTTGTAACCAAAGTTTCTGGATATATTTTTAAAGCTTTTAAAGTAGAAAATGGTGTTTTTATACAAAAAAAAACCAAACCCTGAAGTCATAGGAGCTGTTGACTGAAACAACCGTTGCATATATTGTTATCGTAGAGGTGAATAACGTTACGTATAAGTCATAAAATGCAACGACCTTTTGACCTAGGAGTCGACTTCTATATATATCTTAACTAATTCAATACATCTATAAAAGGGTTTAGAATTTCTTTCTCCTGTGTCAAACATTGACGCGTAGATCTAAACAGATTCTATGATTAATTTTTAATTATGCTTTATGATATATAGTATCTTGAACTATAACACTATTAAGTTCATTTTTAAGAAAATTGATATTGCAAAATAACTAACAGTGCGATTTTCACATGTAAGGAATATGTACTTACTTCGGTAACCTCTTTTTCCAAATCCCGCCATACTACAAGTCTTTCATTACTTTCACCGTCAAAATCTTTTAGTTGATAGAGTGCGTGACCAATCACATTATGTCTTTTATGACGATCAACGTCGTATACTGTAAATTTTAATACTCTATCCTGAAGTGTTCTGTGGGAAACCTACAGAATAAAACGTTTCACAGATGAAAATCTTCTATAGCTTCTTTTGAGATTTTTTTTAATAAGAATGTGCTATTTAACATGCTTAATACAATAGTATCGTTTTCATAACAGTGTGGACGAGACCAATTTTTGGCGCGCTCAAGTCTCCCATTGATTTGGGTAAATTAGGTGAACGTTCGTTTGTAACGCCCACTTATCACGTCGTATTTATTATAGACATTTAAACTGTGAGGTCACCAAAGGTTCGCAACGCCTAAATCAAATAATTCGAAAAACTAATACAGGATTAACCTCTGTGTTTTGATTAATATAGAATACTTAAACGTTTTTTCCTAACGTTTTTATTATGTTTTGATAAACAATTTTTATGATATCGCACGTTCTTTAAACATAAAAATTAATTTAACTAGCTTTAAAAGTTACAATGTATGTGATGGCTTTTTTCTTTTTCGGACGTCAAAGCGATTAACCCATTGCGGTTGTCTAATTTTTTTTCACTTAGAATCTTTTAACTTTTTTCTTGTGTAAGATTTCATTTTAGAACGAATGCATGATCAACTTTAAATAGTTGTGCAATTACAAAACATAGACAAAATGTACGTTCGTACGGTCTTTTTCGTACTTGCAAGACATTAGACAGTAAAAAGCTATTTGGACCAAGCCTTATGAAATTTGCATTTTATTTCACGAAATACTAGTGGGTAAAATGTATAGTTTGGTGTATTTTGGAAACTGAAACTTTTCTGCTGACTACTATAGGCCCTACTTGTGAAAAAACCCTTGGTAGCAGAATGATTATGCACCGACTATTCTTCCTTTTCTGAGTATGTGTGTGTTGTTTTTTTTTTTGTGTGGTGGGGATTGTTTTTCTCTCTCATGCACATACATGAACATTACTTTTTTTACCTTAGTGTCGTATTTTTTTTTCGTCCCTAACTTTGAATGTAAATCAATTAGTTGTTTTTTTCCTCTTTTTTCTGAAACACAGTATTTTTTTTTCTTTCCAATTTTTTTCTAGAATCAGTTCATTAAAAAAAACGGCCCGACTTACACACACACAATAATTGACGGCAGTTTATATATCAACTTCGTCCTTTTTAAAATCGCAATGAAAATGTGCATATAATATATGTATCATGCAGGAAATTAATTTTTGAAATGTGGTCAATTTGCTCGAAGCGGAAAAAAACAACAGCTTAATATAGACTGAAACTGAAATAATGGTTATAATTTACACAAAGTTACTTTTTCCAATATAAACATTAAAAAATTGTTATTATTTTATTTTTTTTTTATTTACAACATTTTTTTCAAAGACCACATTGTGACTTCGAGATTGAGTACAACCATGAAAGCGCTTTTCCTTTTTCTGTCTTCTACTGTTAGTTTAATTCAGTTATTTTGTGTCATGAATTGGTATTAATGTCATCTCGTATATTTTTAAATATGAAGAAAAGGGGATCCGGTTGTATGTCAATGAGTCACAAACAAACGACAAAAAATTCAAAAACGGTCAACATTCATTCTTCAACAATAAAATGCGTTACAAGAAAATTAGTTTTGTAAGTAAAAGACCCAAATTCGTGTGATACAAGAATGATATATTTATGACTAGCTATCGTTGGTCAAAGAGACAAACAGGATCACACACACGCGTAACAGTTTCCCCTTTACATAAACGGATTATACAACAGAAAAATCTTTTAATCAATTAGATAAACATTTAGGTATATACATAAAACAGAGCCAATTGAGTTGTGTAGTACTGGAATATCCATATGAGTTGTCTGTATGACTGAATGATCCAAACGATGATCCATGTGAAAAATGTCCAGTTAAAAAAATGATTTTTTTTTTTTCATCGTCCGGAACTCTTTTCACAAACAAATTCTATGCATTGAATAAATGGTAGGTTACTCTTAAATGATCACAACGTGGGAGTATTTTTTTCTCATAAGATATTTTGTGAATTAACCCCATCGACTTAAAGTTTTTACACTGAAAATCCAAATGTGTAAATGTATTTTTCGATTATTAAATGATATTTGCTCTGAACATTTATTATTCTCTAAAATGAAACTGTTGTGCGTGCTGATATAAAGAATATTTCAAACAAATTCCATTAAAGTTTTGTGAAAAGAGTTTCATTTTATGTATCGAAATGTGTTACAAGTGTTTATTTAAATCCCCACTGGAGGGCCTCTGAAAGACTGAGTGAGCGTAAAATCATTGTTATCGATAGCCGATGACAAACAAGTTAAAGGTAAATGATTCAGTATTTTCAACAACAAAAGTACTACGGTTGTCCACACTGTTACGGGAATACCTCTAAATGTCAAACATTTTCCACAGCCAGTATTTTTTTTAATCTTTTATTTTCTGCAAAATATTATATATCAATGTTATTTTACCTGAAAGACATAACTCTCCTCAAATTTTGGGTTGTTTGTTTTCTTCTTAAATTTTGACTGAAGGTATCTGCGCTCATCTGGCATTAAATATATTCTGTAAAAACAAATACTAGAATATTATAGTACCCACTGCCTTTTATAGAAGAAATTAAATTAGGTTTTGAAACACCTTTAAACTTTGCTTGTTTCACTACGAATCAATGTGGCATATATACACCTCCAATGAAAGGTGTAAGAAATATCGTAATTATTTACGCTGATGTCTTATAGATATTAAACGGAGCTGGAATAGATTATTTTACGGCTTTTCTTTGTTCTGTAAAAAAAAACCTAGGTTCAATAAGCAGTGGTTTAAAATCTAATTAAACGAACATTATTGTATAAGTAACCATTATAGGCATAGTGTTTAGATTTCTGTAATTGTTGAAGGCTATGTGCTGCCATGTAGGTTTCATTTGTTTATTTTTGTCGTTAGATTACTTACGCCTATCCCATAATTCCTTTTGTTTATATTGTGTGTTAAAAAAGAGGTAAGACCCGCCATATTCTGATGTGCATGTTAAAACATTCGCAACCTCGTTAGTCATTGTTTTTCGTTATATCTTATCGATTTCTTACTTTAGGGAAATTTGCGTTGATGATAGATATGAGTTTTGTTTATACTTTAGAGAAATTGGTGTTGAATTCTAGTCCAACATCTCTTATCATTCGTATTCTTCAAAAAAAGAAAATTCTAATAACGAGAAAACTGTATGCATGATTTGTGGTAATGGCAGATTTACTTGTTATCTATTTCACCAGGTTTTAAGCATTAACTGTTTGTAACCAACAAAGTATCATACATAAACAATTGGAAAAGCAGAGTTTATCAAATAAGAGAATCAAGTAAATCCTCAGTTTGTCGGTGAATGTTCATGTCATGTGAAGTAAATGGGGTTTTACACAGTATAATCGTTCCAAAGTTCATATTTCATGAAATTAAGATTCGACTTTCCAGACGAAGGAAATCGATTACTGGACATCAATATGAATAGCATCTGCAGAATTCAAGATGAAGAGGTGTCAATTGGAGATGCAATAACAGTAACTAATTTAATACTACTGCGACAGGATATCAACTCAAAAAGCGATTCGCAGCTAAAACAGAGCAAAAAGTACATCTGAAACAGGATTTAAATATTTCGATTATCTTTCAAATATATCCTGTGCAAAAGCCAAACATAAAACAAGCAAACGTGCTTTGAGAAAAAAAATAAAATGATACAAGCATAAAAACTTTAATCCGAAAATTCGAAACTTCAACTAAAAAACTTGCATTGCAGTTGACATTGTATATAAAATTTGCTATGAATAGAAATCATGTCCTATGAAATAACTTGTATGTATTTTTTAAAACAATGTAAAATTTCCTTTATTATTTGACTAAATCAGGGAGAATGTTAATTGTATCAAAGCTATTTTTTTCTTCATCAAATTCATTTATATTGCTACAGTAAGTATGATTGCATAATACTTGATAAGATAATTTGAATCAATTTGATAACTTGTTTTAATTTGGAATGCGCTTATAATAATATCAATAAAAGTTCAACCACCTATCTTTTCTTTCATCGAAATGAAACGGAAAATAGAATAACAAGTAAAACTGCCATTTCCACAAATCAAACTTGCAGTCAGAAAATTAATTTCTTAGTTTGAAGAGAGAACATTTTACCACTAATTACATACACTTGTAAACCCTGAATTTATGGAGAGAGAGAGTTATCGTTACTTTTGATCGAATGACATAACAGATAAAAAGATGACTGGCATCTTAATTGAAACGTAGTAATGTTCTGATAGAAGTTCGTAAATCAACAATAATTATCGTTGCTAGAATATTAATGAGAAAGGGTAACTGATATTTGAATATATATTTATGACATATTATTTATATCTATCGTTTAATGCATTTGAAAAAATATAAGCATAACTGCATTAAATGAAAGTAAAACTTGATTGAAGAATTTTTAGGTTTGATTCTGGTATTGTCCGACTTATAATGAAATGATTTTGAGTGTCATGGATATCGTCTTACTTATTTGCCCTTTAAACATATTATACAACAGATGTATTTTCTCCCGAAGTAAATCGAGTTCTTCTAACGATTTTCACCTTTACCGGAGTTAACCACTTCTAAGATAGCTTTGGTATCTGGCAAGTTTGTATTTGACTCCTACCAGCATTGACTCATTATCGAATTTAACCACTAGACAAATCGACAGGTATTGCATGTTTAGCAAGATATATCTACCCAACCAGACCACCTGCTGTTAAGTCCGTTTGTGATAAGAGTTTTAAGTGTAAAAAATAATAACAAAAATATCGAACACCAAGGTAAATTAAAAAAAGGGGAAGTCCATAAAACCATACAAAATCTAACGTTATCAACCAACGGAACGAGTGAAATACAACTGTCATATTCCTAACTTTGTACAGGCATTTTCCGAAGAAAATGGTGGATTAAACCTGGTTTTATAGCTAGCTACACCTCCCTCTTGTAAGGAAGACAAACACATCTTAATTGTTATTACAAGAAATAAACATGTGACTCTCAAAATAAAGAAAATCGATCATCGGACACTATTAGGAAAAGTGCATCCGTAGAACAAAAGGCGAAGAGGCGTCAACTGACGATACAGTAATAGTAATAATTTTAAGATGTACAAACTACCGTAACACCATGCCAACGATTAGAATGGGGGCATTGTATGCTAAGATATGACAGAAACTCCAACATATTGCATAGCAGTGTTTTTTATGTATCTTGATTCCTATCTTTTGTTTTCTTTGACTTGTATAATGTCGTTCTTGTATTCCCTGCTTTCGTTTTAAAAAGTTAGAATGGTTTGATTTATATCATTTCTAATTGTAAATACTGAATAGTTGACTGTGGTCAGTACCTATAGAAAAATCTCTTCAGTTTACTTGATTGAACTATGTTGAAAAGATGATTTGCTGTTATTCTCTTTTAGTTTTGAACAAGAATATGTATCTTATTAGGACATCATAACCCGTTCACAACATCACATTTCCATGTTCAGTGAGGCCCGAAAACTGGACCAAAACTATAATTTGACACATGTACAATTCAATAAGTAAGACGATACCAATGACACTCAAAATCATTTCATTTTAAGGCGGACAACACCAGGATCAAACCTAAAAATTCTTCAATCAATTTTTACTTTCATTTTTGTACAAAGTAAAGAACTGAATTTCAAAATTAAAAGAAACTTTAAAAGATGAAGTATTATTGATAACGCATAGAATCAGATCCACCTTGTCAGCACACCCTTTTCAGAACAATAAGAAAAAAAAACTGTCAGTATCTATCTATACAAAATTAAAAAAAAAAAACATCAGGCACCAGGCTTATACTTTGTATGCCAGACGCACGTTTCTTCTACGAAAGATTCATCAGTGACGCTCGAATAAATTGAAAAAAAATATTGTATAGTACAAACGTAGATTTTGAAACAACAGAAATACCGATATAAAACTAACACATCCATCATTCATCTCTACGTTGCATTTAATTAAAAAAATGTAAAACTAATAGAACTGAAGATTCTGTTTCATAGCTTCACTTGAAATTTAAAACTGAAAAATAATTATCTGTAGGTTTGTCACCCACATATTACCAATAATTACTTGACTATTGAGACACACTGAACTTATGTATGGCTTTCCTTTAACTATATATTAAGGCTTTGTTAAAGCAAGATTCCAGAATCACAATACTTTGTACTCGAATCAGTTCAGAAATTGACATTTCAAGTTTGAAACATGACTCAAGTTTCGTTTCTGTTTTTAAATTGATTTTTATTGGCTATTGCATAAGTCGTGTTTTGCGCACTTTTATGGTGTTTCTGTATGCAATCTTTTAAGATGTACAGAGATAATTAAATTGCATGAAAGCACGTGTTCTGTATCCAACTTTAAAAAGGGAGGAAAAAGATACCCAAGGGATATTTAAACTCATTAGTCTAAAAAAAAAAGAAGAAGAAAATGAACTAGCTGTCAGTAACTGCAAGTAATCTCAGATCTGTACTTTGTGTCCATTTTTGTTGTGGGGGATGTATTAATTCCCCGCCACGTCCGGTCTGTGCTTTTGTTAGTTGTTTTTCTGTTTTTTTGTTGGAAATTCACTGTTTTTCTGACATATCACCTTTATCACATTCCATTATTTATCTACTTTGAGACTTTTTCTCTATTTCTAACATTAAAAATGCACATTACATAAAAGAATTAATGTACTGAATCATCATAACAGAGTGTGATGCCTTTTATAACTGACTATGCGGTATGGATTTTGCTCATTGTTGAAGGCCGTACGTTGACCTATATTTGTTAACTTCTATGTCGTTTTATCTCTGGTGGAGAGTTGTCTCATTGATAATCATACCACATCTCCTTTTTTTATATTGAAAATGCCATAGCGAATAGACAAACAACAAAAAGACAAACAACAGTTCACAAAACACAACATAGAAAACTACAGACTGATTAACATGAACCACAAAGTAAAGGTACTGCATGTCTTTAACTAACCATTATAATTTTGTTTGATAAAGAACTGTTAAACTTTGCAACACAATACCTACCTGACAAATGGATCACAGCTACTATTGTTTCCATATTGACGAGTTGGTAAATTTTTGGCTTTTATCAAAGTCACTAGTAATTTTTCTGTCTCTCTTTCATATTCAACAGCAAACCACAAACGCCCTATATGATCTACAGGTATTTCGTAAGTGTCATCCTCATCAACAATTTTATACAAACTTGGGTCTATTGATCCTAAGGCATATGCACCTAGAAATAAAGTGAACATTGGATTTCATTTGCATGATACATTTAATTTTACTTGCCTCTTCTATAAAGTTTTCGTAAACTCTTAGTCCTGAAATATTTGCTTCATGGACTTAAAGCAAATATCAACCACTCAATCAATTACATGTGATTTCGTTCATATGATTTATATGCGCAATTCATTTAGGTAGGCAGTAAGGAAGCATTTTTCTTCAATCCCTCTGCACATCGTTAACGTGGGTATATATAATGACTCGTTCCAAACATTTTCACACATGTGGTTAAAATTTCGGACCACGAAGTGAGATTCAATTTACCGAAACTTTGCTGACACAGAAAAGCCCTTTGTGATGCTGCTTCTAGAGGTAAAAAAATTCTACTTTCACACAAAAAGTTCTCTGGATATTCAATTCGATAACGTACGGAAATGTTTTTTGGTACCGTTTTTAATGGTGTTATTCTTTCATGTCTACGGATGTTGCACACAATGTTGGTGTCTTTCTCAAATATTACGGAGTGCAAAAAGGAACTGTTATACATATTGATTTACTGATTTTTTATGTTTAAGAAATCTAGAATATTGAAAAATCATACAGTTAGTAATAAGTATGAAAAAAAATGCGTTTCGTTTTTATTCTTTGTGAAAATATAATGTCAAACATTACATGTAACGCGCGCCACACGAAATAAACTTGTATTAAAGCACTATATATATAATTTCTATGATCGGAATAAATTCAAACTACTGTGGATTCATTTATTTTCGTGGGTACCAATTTTCGGGGATTGAGAAAAACTTGTATTTTCGTGGATATTCGGTTTTGTGAATTTCCCAAAGTCTGCATACAACCTTATAGAAAATGTGTAATTCGTTGAACATTTAAATTTGTGGTTTACCTGTACCCACGAAATCCACGAAAATTGATACCCAACGAATAAGAATGAATCCACAGAAGTTGGTTTTCAGTTTGGTAAAGATATATTTTGAATAAGGGACGATTTTCTTTCCCTATTGTTTATTTTCCTTTTTTGGATTGTGATGTTCCTTTGGTACCATCTTACAATGTTCTCAACTCGTTCGCTATGTCCGTGTCTGTAGTGAAGTTTTGGATTTCAATGAACGTTATATCATATACTGGTAAATTTTAAAGTCATAGATTTCGTTCCCACAAATTACTTAAGAAAATTAACGGCCTAATTTATAACAAAACAATTTATGAAAAACAAATATGATAGACATTAACCAACGACAACCACTGAACTATAGGCTCCTGACTTGGGAAAGGCACATAAAGAATGTGGCGGGGTTAAACATGTTTGTGAGCGCTCAACCCTCCCCTAACCTGGGACAGTGGTGTAACAGTACAACATAAGAACAAACTATAAAAATCAGTTGAAAAAACTCATCAGATGGATACAATTAGAAATTCATCTAACAAAACAAAGAGTGGACGTGGACGGGTACTCATACATCCACACAACAAAAAGACACTAAGTACATATCTGACAGTACTCGCAGTTACTGACAGCTAGTTCAAAGCCAATAACAACTAATAAAAAAATCAAGTATCTAAGACTAAAATATCAATCAGTACACATCCAACATCCAATGGATTTAGTGTAAAGACGTCATTAACAATCAGAGAAAACATGAACTTGTGCAATGCCAAACTATAGGTATCGATAGATTGTAGTACCGTGAGCATTTTTTCAACTGTTTTTTTTATGGTTTGTTCATATGTTGTGCTGTTACACCACTGTCCCAGGTTAGGGGAGGGTTGGTCGCCCGCAAACATATTTAACCCCGCCTCATTCTGTATGTGCCTGTTCCAAGTCAGGATCCTGTAATTCAGTGGTTGGCATTTGTTGCTATATATATCATATTTGTTTTTCATTCAGTGTTTTGTAAATAAATCAGGCCGTTAGTTTTCTCGTTTGAATTGTTTTACATTTGTCATTTCGGGGCCTTTTATAACTGACCATAAGGTATGATATGGGTTTTTATCATTGTATTTGTAAATAAAAATAACAAAAGCAATGTCATAAATTCGAGCATACGGCGCCTTGAAAATCTTCTATCTATATAACTGAGTTAAAATAAAAAATATTTTTGTTCTAGTTCGTTTGCAGGTTCTGTCAAAACATTTTTTTTAGCATAAATTAACTAATATTAGTAAGTAAATTAATGTTCGATATAGATTGCCGTTTAAACTACATGAAACATTCCCAAATCTTTCAAGCTGTTTGCATTTAAAAGCCCTTTGATTTGCTTAGGTGTTTTCGGGCATTCATACTGGTCAGAAAATTGATACGTCATTTCATTGTTCGAATATTCAACTTTGAATTGTATGTGTATGTGGTCATTTTAAATTATACGCACCAATTTACACGAGTTGAAAGGTTTGCCAACAGGTCATTACCAACATCTAATTGATATGGATAAATCATTAAAAAGATTTATCATGCCTGCTTTTATCTTTTTATGTTCTTTTATGGCAATGATAACGACTACCTTATGGTCATTGTCATTGCCATATTAATAATGAACATACATTTGAACTTGTTAGCTCATTATTCTACTGATCAAATATTCTTATGATAGTTGATCAAACATGTTAAAATGTGAAATGAATTTCGTATCTTTATCGTTGCTGTCCATTAATGGTACTTCAGGATGATAACTGCTGGGTTATAAATCGAATGCAGCATTATCTATAGCGATGCTTGACTTTTACTTCTTAATGACTTCTAGAGACAAGTCTAGCGATGCTAAAAGTGAAGGTAAACTTCAAGTCTTTATTGTCAAGATGAAGTACGTTGTTCAAGAAAATGACAACTTTCTTGACTTTCAATAACAACTTTCAAAGATGAGCCGTCAAACTGGGGAACTTACGGCCAGGATATACATTGAAATAGTGCCATACACCGAAGTCATGTTGACAGTATTTTCAAAAGTAAACACAACTATCGGTGGACTCTTTCAATTTAGAAGAAGCATTATGTTCATTTCTAACAAACAAGTGTAATACTCTGTGGTATAATGACGTATTATTCCGATTTGAGTTTTTAAAAATATCATTTATCCGGTATGCACTAGCACACAGTTTCGGGAACAAAATACAAAAAAAAAATGGGAGTGTTAAACACAAGGTGCGCCTAAACATGACAGCCAAAACATTTGAAAACAAGTTTACCTCAGACCTAATTTTACTACAACTAATTGTGTAAATCTAAAACTTAAAAGAGTGTATATTCAAGTTCATGGTAGTAGAAAAGCGTTGGTTAATAGTGGGATGCATTATCTACCAACAACAGTACTGACGCAGTTGTAGTAATGGAACATGTCATATCCAAATACAGACAACCGTTGACAACAGTACTGACTCAGTTGTAGTAATGAAAACATGTCATATCCAAATACAGACAATAGTTGACAACAATACTGACGCAGTTGTAGTAATGAAAACATGTAATATCCAAATACAGACAACCGTTGACAACAGGACTGACGCAGTTGTAGTAATGAAACCATGTTATATCCAAATACAGACAACCGTTGACAACAATACAGTTCAATCAGTCAAATACAAAATCCAGCATTCTAACTGATAATTTACGCGCTACCAATCAGTTGTGTGTTATCTTCATAGAAGTATTTAATGGAAACATTCTCTACTGTATCATTTTGTACATTTAATATTTGTTCGAAATACGTGAAAAAAATTATTTCTTATACTCATATGAAAACATTTGGTCATATAAAATGAAAGACAACAAGAAACAAAACATAGATAAAAAACAATATAAATTTAAAGTCAAATTAAATTCATATATTAAACAATTTATCAGAGAGATAAAAACAACAAAATGATATTGTCCTTTTAGATTATATCGAATGAAAATAAAAACTTTTCTTGTAAATGATTAATTATCTTGATGGCAGTCATATTCGTTAAGACAGTAACTGTCCTCAAAGTGACAATATTCAATCAATATTCTATTTCAGTCACTATCCTCCAGACGTCATTTTACGTCACTTAGTATTATATAAAAAAAAAGATGTGGTATAATTGCCAACGAGACAACTCTCCACAAGAGACCAAATGACACAGAAATTGACCCCTGTAGGTCACCGTACGGCTTTCAACAATAAGCAAAACCCATACCACATAGTCAGCTATAAAAGGACCCGAAATGACAAATGTAAAACAATTTAAACGAGAAAACTAACGGCATAATTTATATACAAAATAATGAACGACAAACAAATATGATACACTGAAACAAACGACAACCACTGAATTACAAGCTCCAGACTTGGGACAGGCACATACAGAATGTGGCGGGGTTAAACATGTCAGCGGGCTAAACTGCTATGAAATGAATGATGTGAATTGGAATACGTATCGATTGACCATTTAACAGACATATAATAATACTCAGTACTTCGTTAAATCTGTTTCAGTGACTATTTTGTAACAATCATAATGTATTAATGACAATAATATCAAAGTAACAACAAAATCTATTTCCCAAATTTAGCAAGCTCCTGTTTAAACTGCTTTGTAATTTTCAAAAAGAAAAGAAAAACACCTACTGATTTTGATCAATCATTTAAGGTCAAGGTAGTAGTAGTAATTGTTAAAAACTTATACCAAAGAAACAATACTTTTTGACTAGTTGTCATGAACGTGTCTGTTTGGTTATTATTTTTCTTATTAAAACCGTTGGTCTCCAAGAAATACCCCTTAAAGGACCCCTGATAAATAACATTCTTCTTCCAGCGATGTTAACGAGAAAAATATCGACGGGTTGAAAGCTGTATCATGAAAGTTTATCAAATCTTATAAAAATGTATTATTTGAAAAAAATTGAAAAATTTTCACACTTCATTGGGATCGCAGAATTATTTTTCATATAGTTTTCGGGCTTTGCTTTCATTTAATAGGTTGTTAACTTCCCTACTATAAATCACTATAGATATTCTGTTTTGACGAAATACA